CCCCACTCTGCACTGGCTAAAGTTGGGGTCCCCAAGAATCTGGGATACTCAACCAGTGATCATCTTAGACCTCTAAGTCTTTCCAGATGTGTCAGCAGTCTAGAATCTCATACTTCAGTACAATGTTTTAAAATTCCAGGCAGATCTAAGGATTTGGAATTCTGGGAAAATCCTAGTGCCTAGGATTTCCAAGCCTCCCTCAGTTCATGTTCTGAGGTGCTCCCAGCCTTCTTTTAAGAGCCTTTTAAACACTTGGGACCAAAGCCCTGACCCCCAAGTTCCCACAATCTGCAGAAGATGTTGGCTTTGGGGATTCCAAAAGAGCCTTTGATGTCAGCGGGTCTCACTAAGGAACAAATGGATGTGAAGTCTCACCGGGGAGTAGAATCCTGTGGAATTTCCCAGAGCTGGGAGGCGGGTCACTGAGTGAGGGTGGGCACAGAGCTCAGCAGCCAGGGGTGGTGGAGGCCAACTAGGCTAGGCTTTCATGGAGCCGGGTGCAATCTGAAACTAGGATCTCGGAAAATCATGGTGGCTACAGAAAATCCTTCAGACTAGAGAACCAGGCAGCCGGGGCCAGGGCTCCCCTGGGTGGTCCCCATCCATCCTCCCACTCCCGAGGCTTCTGGAGAAGGCTCTCACACTCAGTGCCAGGGCCTCCCCTGCCCTTAGTGAGGACCTCCCACAAGTAGGGTCAAACACTAAGCAATGAGATAGGATTGGGGCAGGGGAGAAGTCCAGGCAGGAACCGGCAGAACGGTCCGTGACACGGTGGTGTGAAAACATCAGAAAAGGGACCTTATGGTGTTAACTGAGTTTCCCTTCCCCTTTAGGTCTTTGCACAAACATCACCTCCAGACCTTTCTGGAACCCTGTATTGAGAACTGTACCCCTGCCTAGGCAGAACTTGAATGCTCTATTTTGCTCCTTGGCACTACCATGTTTGGTGAGGGCAACACAGGCCCCAAGCAGGTTCACATAGATAGCTGCTGAGTAATTTGCATGTGTCTTTGTGTGTACATGGTTGGTACATGTGAGCACATGCATGTGGAGATAAGAGGTCAATTTCAGGTGTTGTTTCCAGGCATCATCTTTTTTTCTTTTCTTTGAGACAGGCTCTCACTGTCCTGGAACTCACTGATAAGGCTGCCTGGTCAACCAGCCCGGAGATCCTCCTGTCTCTGCCTCCCAAGTCCTGGAATTACAAGCATGCATCACTATACCTGGTTTTAAAAAGCTGTCTCTGCCTCCCAAGTCCTGGAATTACAAGCATGCATCACTATACCTGGCTTTAAAAAGCTTTATATGCGTGTGTGTGTGTGTGTGTGTGTGTGTATGTGTGTGTCTTCAGAGAATAACTTGCAGGTGTGTGTGTGTGTGTGTGTGTGTGTGTGTGTGTGTGTGTGTGTCTTCAGGTTTCTAGAGGAAAGATGACATGCAAGTGGAGGTCAGAGAATAACTTGCAGGAGTCAGTTCTCTCCTTCCATCACATGGCTCCTGGGGATTAAACCCAGGTCATCAGGCTTGGCAGCAAATACATTTTACCTGCTGAGCCATCTTACTGGCTCCACATCCAGCTTTTTATGTGGGTAGCAGCTAAAAGGTGGTAGTCACAGGATCCCGAGGGCAGCTGATGATTGAAGCCAACAGTATCAACCACAGCCTCCTGGCACTGGGTGAGACCCAGGGGTTTACCGATCTGACTTCCTGCATCCCTTCTCTGCTCCAGACCCAAAGCTGCCCTGGGGAGACTGCAGGACTTACAATGAACGGATGAGGGCTAGAGACAGGAGCCAAGATTCAAAGGCACATATCTGTCTCTAGGGATCGAAGTCAGGTCCTCATGTTTGCACACAAGCATTTTATAACCTGAGTCCCTCAGCGAGTGATTTTGGAGTATGGCCTATCCATTCTGTCAAATTGCCATGCAACTACAAGTTCCTTTGGGTCGAATTCTCGGCAAGAGAACAAGCCTCCTGTGACACTTTTTCCAAATGTCAGAGAATCCTTAACAGTCAAGGGTCACCACTATTGTACCCATTATGGATACAAGGTAACCTCGGCTCAGAGCAGCTGTAATTTGCCCAAGACCACACAGAGAAAGTAACAAGGGAATAGAGACCTATGTGGCTCCCCTCTCTGCCTGCCTGTGTCTACTGAGCTCTGAGTCTCTGGGCTCTACATTGACTTTGGCCTTCTCAGGACACCCTGGCCTCTGTTGGACACTCTCAATGTCCAGTCACAAGTCATGCCTCTTAACATCTGCTCCTTGGGAGCTCCAGTCTGGAGCCTAGAATCCACTTCTAGAAACTGCCCTGCATAGACTCAGGAGTCGGGGAAACCTAGAGAGGCCCAATAAACTTTCTCAAGACACACACAACACAGAGAAGCCCTGTAAACCCTGGTTTTATCTTTTCGTCCTCATTCTCCTGTTATAAGGGAACGAACTTTGGAGACATTCCCAGGGCTACGTTCCAGAATGCTGGGCAGGGAAGCCCAGTCTTTCTTCGCTTTGTCTCGCACCAGGAATAGGTAGGGGAAGGTTCTGGTGTTCTCGGCTCGATCACCCTATTCAGAGACAAGAGGTCTCTGGTGGACAGCTGGCCAGTCCTCCAGCAGCTCCAGGCTCCCAGATGCTTCTCCTCCAGGCCTGTGGTTGAGGCTGGTCTCATTTCTAGGGAGTCTCAGCCCAAAGCCAGGCTCAGGTACTATAAACTGAGGGGTCTCCTCCCCTCTCTGCTGGTGTCTTTACTGGTGTCTTGCTTCTACCTCCCACAGGGCAAGCATGACCCAGACACAAATCTAAGCTGGGAAGGTCTCAAGAGTCATTCATGGCCCTGTGCCCTCCACACAGCCCAAACTCTGAATGTAGATACAGCGCCCAGAGAAATTTGGAACCTGAAGTCTTTGGGTCTTTGCATCCAAGCTCTGTCACCTTCCCCAGGCCACTGCTGTCACTGTCCCTAAGAGTCATGCAACTTCAGACTGGCTCACCTCTTTTGTGCTTCCAGAAGTTCCCAGGCTTTCTGCTATCAGTGCACTATGAGCTGACAAATGTGTGTCTGTCCCGTTAGTCTGTGAGGAACCTGGCAAAGCCACCATTTTCGTTGCTTGGTTTTATCTGCCTCCTACAGGTGATGTGCAGTGGATGCCAGTTGTGTTTGTTGAATGAATAAACGAGTGAACAAAAATGAACTACACAGATCTTAGTTTCTAGAGCTATGAATGGAGAATCAGGCTGGATCTGTGGTTCTCGGTATGAAGTCTTCCCACTCCCCACACTCCTCCTGTTGTGTCTGGATACATCTTAACTGCAGACTTACTGTCTCCTACTGGGGACTTATGCCAGGGACCACAGCATTCCTCACACCTTTGATCCTCACTACAGCTCAATGGGACAAGGTGCTGTTTGTGACTAAAAATAATGTTGCAGGAGGAAGCACATCTGGTCCAGGGTCTCAGAGCAGGTGTGTGGCATAGGAGGCCTCCTGAGCACCCAGTAACTTGGACTCAGAGTCTGGACAGGGCAAACAGATCCTTTGGCCACACACCTGCCTGGGCTCCCACCACATCACTTTCTTCCTGTCATCGTCCAAGGTCCTACCTTTGCCCTTCAGCACATTCCTCTGCCATATCTGCCAGAGGCACCTAGCAGCTGTTCAGTTAAAACTTGTCTAATACAGGGGCTGGAGAGATGGCTAAGCTGTTAAGAGAAGTGGCTGCTCTTGCAGAGGACCTGAGTTTGATTCTCACCACCCACATGGTGGCTAACAACCATGGGTAACTCCAGTTCCAGGGGAATCCAACACCTTCATCAGACCTCTGCAGGCACTGCATGAAATGGGTGCACTTGTATACATGCAGGCAATACACTCATACACATAAAATAAAATAAAAATAAATAATAATAAAGGAGCCAGGGGTTCCTCCCAAGCCCGTGACCCCTGAAGAACAGATCCTCAAATGGCCTTTTGAGTAAAAATAAATTGGTTTATCTGGGCCAACTGTAGGGTCTTAAACACCCAAAAGAAAAGTATAAATCAAATATTAAAGGGGACAATATAATTTTTAAGAGTCCGTATGTATAGCTAAAGGCTACATAACAAGAAACAATGCCAACCTTTTGAGTTGTTGGCCAGGGTGGCCCAAGAGGCTCCCAGATAGTAACCCAGCATAGAACTGGGAAAATGAACAGCAGACCCCAATCTTATCTAAAGGAATATTGACAACTGATTGCTGCTAGATGAGGAACAGCTGATCTTCCTAAAACAAGGATCTCTAGATAGGCTCACTAGATTCAGTGGATGGACAAGCACTGGGGAATGGGTGGGGGCACTGACAACACAGTGGACAGTAACAGGGATGACAGAGTATATGGGCCCCAGTGGGGGGTGGGGAGGCTATGTGAGGGTGCCATTTGGGAAGTGGGTGTATAGATGAATAGTGTTTGGGATGTTCTTTATGATATACACACACAAAAATCAACAAATTAAAAAATAAGTTATATTTGAGGAGGAAGCATAAAAATTTACTTCATGTTAATTAGCAGAGGTGATAAACATTACCACTGAAATCTACCTGATGACTTTATATCCCTATTCAGGTGCCAAGAATCCGAGTGTAACTGACTATGACTAGTAGTAATCAGATACATAGAGATTAGAGACGCATGTGCAAATATCTAAGTGTTAGTTGCATTAAAAAAGAGTTTTTCTGTATGAAACAGTAAATTTTAATAATCTTTTTTAAAGGTTAAAATCACAATCAATTTTATGTCTTATAGGGTTTATACTGAGTACAACATTGTATAAACTATAATAATTCAACTGTAAACCTAAAAATTTACAGCCAATTTTGAAAGAGATGCATCTTAGCTCAGAAAAACGTTATTGACGGAGTTTATACTGAGTCCAACATTGTATAACTAACTGTATTAATTCAACTGTGAACCTAAAAATTTACAGCCAGTTTTGAAAGTGATACCTCTTTGCTCGGGAAATTGTTATTGAATATGTTAAAGCTGTAATGAAATGCTTCTTTTAATCATGTGGTTATTAAATAAATAATAATAATAATAATAATAATAAGCTTGTCTAATATAGGAGAGATGGGAGGCCAGGATGCTCCTGTTCAGGAGGGATGCACACCTGTGCCAGGAGTCCTTGCTCCTCCCCACAGTACCCCAAGACTCCCATTCAGGAGCTGACCCACATGGAAGTAATGACCACCTAGAATACCAGGCCAACCAGATGGGAGCTGATGCCTCTTTTTGTTCAGATTTTGTCACCCACTGTCACTGTCTCCTGAATCCAGTCTTATGTTCAGGATCTGAGGCAGCGCCCGCCCTCCTACCCACTTATGGAGCACTGCCCCCACAGCTCTCTGTCAAGGAGCATCACTGTCCCCATTCACAGGCAGGGAGATCAAGGCCCAGGAGGCAGAGCCAGTCTGGTGCAGTTTTCAATGGGGAGAAAGGCTTTGGCTGGGACTCTGTGTGCCCTCACTGCGAGGTGGTTGGCTCTGGCCACGGCGTAGGGACCTGCCGATCTGATGTGTGAGGGCCTCCAGCCTCTGGGCCAAGTTCGGATGTCCAGCTCCCCCTAAGGAAATCAGACTCCAGGCTTGTCCTCCCTGGTTGCCTCCCAGGCCCCTGGGGGCCCAAAATGTTCTGAGGAGCCTTGGGGTCTCCCTCCCCAAACTCCTGGGCTCTAGCAGAGGTCAGGGTGACAGAGGACCCTGCCTGAGTCTTCCAAGACTGGGAACTAGAAAGGCCTTAGAAACCCATCCTGTGTCAAGATGGGAACCCTGAGACCCACAGAACACTAACGCCCCCAATTCCTCACCTCTCAGCACAGGCAATGTGTTCGAGGACCCCACAGGCAGGGGTGGTGCAGAGGGTATTGCCTCCTCCCCTGTCAGTAATTCTGCCAGGACTCGGGTCTGGGTCCAGTCACTACAGCTCCTGGGCCAGGGGAGGGGAGAAGAGTGAGCCTTGGTGGCCCCTAGGCCTTCCCCTCTCACTCTGAATGCCCCAGGCTTGACCTACCTCTCTCCCGGAGGCTTGGCAGAGCCAGAGGTGTGTGAGGGTGCCCAGGGTGGGGGCCTCTCAGACAGAGACATGTTACTTGGGGCCTCATTCTCTGGTACATGCTGGAAAGAACAGAGCCCACAACAGGTGACCTCAGTTGTGTGTCTGGGTATCACTTCCCCAAGTGCTGATGTCACCCATTCCAGATGCGCAGCATGCCAAGCACGCTAGCATACAGGGGTGAGTCTCTGTTGCTTCCTCTGTGGGCTGCAGGCAGTTCTTAAACGTTTTCTCCTAAAGTAGGAGCCCCTTGCAGGCAAGGCCTGTGTATGCTCTATTTCTGAATCCTCAGGGCCCAGAATAGGATCAGACCCAAAGCTTAGGCTGGCAGAGGGCCACTCACTAAAGGAATGGGCGAATGGATGAAGAAGGAAACAGAGAAATGGGCGAATGCATGTGAATGAAAGAGTAAGTGAACAGGATAGAGTATAGTCCTAAAAGAAGGCAGAACGGGAAATGTGGCAAGCAGACATTCCATACCCTGGGCAGAAGGAAGGACTCCACCCCCATCCCCCAGCCAGCCCTTCATTCCCATCCCCCAGCACAGAGGCCTGGGATCTCCGGAGCTCTGGATCCCTAGATTGCTGAGTCCTAGATCAATGTCCCCAGTTCTCTGGCCCATCTTGTCCTTTCTTACCTGTGGCACATGGCACTCCCGCTGTGGGCAGGCCCAGTGGGTCAGTGGTATGTGGCACAGAGTACAGAGGTGGAAGCAGGAGCATAGGGGAGGCAGTGCCTGTAAGAGGGCACATCAGTGACTCTGTGACAGTCTACCTTGTACCCCACAGCCCAGGGTGGACAATGAGACTCACATGGCAGGGGGAAGCTGGCATCATTGAGCAGTGGCACACGGGGGCAGAGCCCGGCTGGGGAAGAGAGCAGGCAGAGAGGAGGCGCCTGGGAAGAAGAGTGAGGTCTGAGCCTGCGGCCCCCCACAACCCTGCCCTGGCTGGCCACTAGGACCCATCAACAGGAACTCCTGGAGCACAGATGAGTTGTGTTCCGGACACCTCTCTATGAACCTGTCTCCCATCCACAAACAACCCTGCAGGGCAGGTGAACCAGGGTCCCATCTCCCAGAAGAGAATGAGGCAGGGAGGGAGTCAGAAACCAAAGCCAGTGTTCAGATACAGAGGCCAAAGGCTGGCTTGTCTCCTAAAGCCCCCATGTCTCAGGCCTATCACATGGCCACACTCACCTCTCTAGTTCATGGACCTGCTGGGTCAGGACGTGCTGCTCGGCCTGGGCCAGGTCCCGACTACTTCGCAACTGTCTCACTTCCTTTCTGGGAGGGGTGAGGGGTGGAAGAGCAGGCTCTGGGTGATGGGAGGCAGGTGGGGACAGAGGGGAGCAGGGAGCCAGGGACAGGTAGCATCTTGGCCAAAGCAGGCCAGCAGGGAGGGGTGAGGACAGAGTCCAGCTGGGCCCATCCTACCTGAGCTTCTCATTTTCCAGCATAAACTCCTGCAGCATCCCATAGAGGTTTCGCTGGGCCCAGGCCACCCGGGCCCCATGGAGCCCAGGGGCTGCAGGGAAGCAGGACATAGCTGGACTCAAAGCAACCCAGATCCTATCCATATCCCTTCTGTGACCCCTAGGGAGCTCATACCCTTGGTGCGCATCTGGTCCAGCTGGAAGCGCAGGTGACGGTTCTCTTCTCTTAGCTGCAGCAGCTCAGCTTCCACATGCTGGGGTGGCTTCGCTCCAGGGGACTGTGGAAACAAAAGCCCAGAGCTGCCCTTTATGACTATCCCAGTGTGGGTATGACTGGGGTCTAACCTCAGCACCCCATTTCACTTGCCTGCCTTGCAAGTTGGCACAGGTTGCACCTTGTCCTTAACTGTGCCATCCCAGAGGGTCTCAATCAGAGCTGGACTCCATTCCAAGTCTAGGCCCAAACTCAGTTTTTCCCCAACCTCTGCTCAGATTCTGACCCCCTAAATGACCATTTATCAGACTCCAACTCCACTAGACATAACCTAATCCTGGGTAGATCCTGAGTGACAGCCCAACTCAATCTCCAGCTCTAGGCCTGCCCAGACCCTGACTGTGACCTTAGGCATACTCCTGACCCCAATCATGACACTATTCCCAGGATTCCAATCCTAATCCTAACTCTGCTGTGGTCTCAGGTTCTAGCTGTTGTGCCCCCGCCCCACCTTGCTCCCTGCTCATATCTCCTTCTGTTCACCTTGGGACCCTGTGGCCGTGTGGTGACCCGCTGAGCTCGACTTGCATATCGCAGAGTGCTGAGGGTCTCAGGAAGGCACTGGGCTGAGGGGGACACGCAGGCCACCTGGAGAGGACCTTCCCTGAGTGCTCCTCCAGAGAAACCCCCTTCCTCAAGACCAAGCCCTCCCTTGCCAGCTTCCCTGTCCACTGGATACCATGAGGGTGAACCCACGGCCCCCTAGTGAGTCTGCCAGCAACTTGGTGAGCTTGCTATCCCGGAAGGGGATATGGTTCTGCTTCCGCTGTGGGTCTAGCAGCAGGGAGATGCAGTGGCCTGGTGGAGAGAACAAGGCCCAGAGAGGTTGCATTGTGTGCCCAAAGTTGCCCAGCAAGGGTGTATAGAGCAGAAAGCTCAGTTCAGGTTGATTCAGCTCTAACCCCATCTTTCCACACTATCTCATTGCTTTTACATCCAGTAGCAGATGCCATGAAAGCAGAGATGCCCTGTCCACCAGATCCCCAACACCCTGAAGAGGGCACAACACTCAGCAGAGACTCAGAAACTCTCTGACAAATAACTAAATGAAAAAAGGAGCTTCCCCGAGAGCTCTCAAACCATAAAGAAATGCAGAGGCTGTACCCTTAGGGATCTAGGGCCAAGCACATGGTCTGTTCCTTTCCCCTACTGGGCCCATCTTCCAAGTGTACAGAGGATAGGTGGAACATAGCTGGCTGGGGGCTGATACTCTGGGTATTCCTACCTCCCAAGTTATAGAAGCCTTTATAGACCTTAGAGTGTACAAAATAATAACTCGCTACAGAGGGAAGAAAGTCAGCCTCAGATCTGGAGACAGATATGTGCCTCTGAAACTTGGCTCCTGTCTCTAGCCCTCATCTGTTCATTTTAAGTCCTGCAGTCTCCCCAGGGCAGCTATGGGTCTGCAGCAGAGAAGGGATGCAGGAAGTCAGACCAGACTAGTAAGCCCCTGGGTCTTACCCAGTGCCAGGAGGCTGCGATTGATGCTATTGGCCTCAAGCATCAGCTGCCCTCGGGATCCTGTGACTGCCACCTTCTCGCTGCCTGCCAGGTCTACAAAGCACAGCTTCCCCCCAACAGGGGGCTCCCCAAGGTCCACAGGAGATACCTGCTGGGGCTAGTGGACCAAGGTTTGATGCCACCCCCCATCAATGTCACAAGGTCAAAGGTTCCCTCCCAACACCCAGAATACCCAAGTCAATTTATACATGCAGAGACACAGCATTGCTGGGTCGCCCTGGGTCAGCCCTTCCCCAGGCTGGGCACTCACAGCTGGCTGGCTAATGTAGAGTGTGAGCAGGGCATGGCTTCTGCTAGAGGCTTGGTTCAGGGTGTGTGAGGAGCTCCGACGACGATTGAGACCTGGGCCAAGGAAGAGTCAGGGGTTGCACCTGCTAGTTAGAATGGACTATCTCAATGAACGTATAGGAGCAAAGATGTGGTGGAGGGGTATCAGGTCAGAGGCACAGGCATGCCAACAAGAGAGTGGTGTTGGCTCAGGTAGTAAGGGGCACCAGCTTTGATGCAGACAGGCACAGGAGGATGTGGAGAAGGGAGCAGAAGAATGAGATTTAAATTTCATAAGCACCTCTCCTACTGCTGCGTGGAAAGAGAAATGAAGGCAAAGATCAGCAGAGAGGTGTAATACAACATTAGGCCAGATCCAGAGTCCCAGTGTCCCTAAGTGCCTGCCAGAGGAGGGTGCTCAGTAATGCTCAAATGAGTAAGATTGGAACAGTAGTATCTTTCAGATAGGCTACGCTATGGGGTATGACGTTTTCCTTTGGACCTTGCAAGAGGGTTCGAGACAGGCATGGGCTAGGTTGTCATCTGGAAGGCCAGGCAGCAGGCATGGGAGGGGCCCCCTTGAGCCATTTCTTTGAATTATGGCTTTGCTGGCCCTTTTCTGCCACAGGAATCCTTTCTGGAGTCGCAGCTTCAGCTCAGTGCACCCTAGAGGAAGATAAAGCATCCCCATCCCCAAAGCTCCCCTAAAGCATCGCACCCATCTGCAGGAGTTCCATGAGGGCCTCCAGACTGCTAAACTCTACCACCCGAAGCTGTTCCACGTAGAAGCCACGAGCCTTGCTCCAGCGAACAGGGAGAGGCCGTGGAGACCCCAGGCTCAGTAAGTCCCGAACCTAGGAGGGGAAAGGGCGGGGTGAGGGTTGGGGGGTTGGGGGGTTGCGGGGGGGTGACGGCTCCATCCACCGTTAGCCCATTGACAATGGTCCCAACCTCCCTTCCACTCCTGGACTGCATCCTTGGTATTTGAAATGCAAGGCCTCACTTCAGGTGGACAGCCAATTCCCTTACCTGCTCATTGTAGATCTCCACGTAAGAAGCGCGGAGGGTGACAGGGGTACCCAGGTGCTGCACTCGGTCTAACAGCCAGGCAAAAGTCCTCTGCATGATGCCAGCCAGGCTGGGGGGCACGGGCACCCCCTCCCCCTGGGGGCAAAGAGCTGGGGTTAGGGCCGCAGCGGCAGCATTACAGTAAGGCCCACCCTTTTGTCAGAAGCCGTGTCACGCTCCCATACACAATATTTCATAGAAATCCCACAGTCCGTACTCCATCAGTGCCACTCTACAGATGAACAAACTGAAAGCTAAGTAAGTGAAGGGTCAAGGCTGGAACACAAACGCTCCAAATCCAGCCAGTCCCTGCCTTCTGGTCATCAGTTGCCGGGTCTGGTTCCTAGGCTGCATGGGCCACACCTTTTCCATCCCAGAGTCCCGCCCACAACCGGAACCCCAACCGGAGCCCGCGGCCCACCTGGGGAGGAGGTCCGGTCAAGGTGTAGGTCTTCCCGGAGCCCGTCTGGCCAAAAGTGAAGACGGTGCAGGAGAAGCTGCGGGCGGCAGGGGCGTGGCTGGGCCCAGGTAGGGGCTGGGCTGGGGGATGCGGGACCCAAACCCAGGGCAGCCCACGCCTCGCTCACCCGCGCAGCGCCAGCTCGCCTAGGCGTTTCACGCCGCACGCCCGGAACACGTCCTCTTGCGTGCGCGCCCCGTCCAGCACCGCGCCGAATCGGAACGCCACGTCCGGGCCCCCGCCAGGGGGGCTCACCTACGGAGGGGGACTCGTGGGCACCGGCGCCCTGGGAGGCGGGGAGGGAGGGGTGCTCTGGGACGGGCGGGACACCCTGGACCCGAGGGTCCGGTAAAGGAGGCTAGAAGAAGGGGAGAATCTAGTCTGCAAGGCAGGATACCCTGGAAGGGAGGGGCGCGCTGGGGTGGGCGGGGCACCCTGGCCGGGAAGAGTCTGGTGAAGGAGGATGGAGGATGGGGAGGACCCTGTGCTCTGGAGTGGGCGGGGCACCGTGGACGGGAAAGGCTCTCCGAGATGGGCGGAGCATTGTAGAGAAGGCGGAGCGTAGGGCAAAGTTGGTGAAAAACCCTTCCACAGGTACCTTGGCAAAGGTTGGGAAGGTTTCTACCTGCAAAATCCGGGTTCCTGAGCAGTGCAGCGCACTCTGCTCCCCTCGACGCAACTCAGCTGCGCTCATGGGACGTACCCTGGCGTCCGAGAGAAGACCAGATGGTCCATCCTGGTATTTCCAGCGATACCTTCTTTGCGCTTGCCCTGGTGCCTCCTAGCCGTCCTATACTCACCTGAGCACCACTTGGATGGGTGTTTCCGGCCCCTCTGGTCCCTGCTCCAGGCTCTGCGCGAGGTCTCTATGACCACAACCTTAATTACCATCCCTGTGTTCAGCCTCCGTCGGGCTCCCCCCAGCCTCAGCTGCGAACTGCAGCACACACACACGCTGCACGTACCCGTCAGGAGACCCTCGTTCCTCCATGTCCTGCTTTGAACACCGCGTTGGCTCCACAGCTCCTTTCGCTTCCCAGTACCCTCCCCTCTCCACAGGGGGCTGTCCACACTCACCTTACAGCCTCCTCCCCAATCCCCTTCAGCCAGTCATCCAGAAAAGCTCCAGTCTGGCTACCCAGAGCTAACAAGTTAAAGATTTACCCACCCCACCCGCGGGGTGGGGAGAGTTCCAAGCCAGGGCCCCCTGGCTAGGGGGTTCTGGAGTCTCAGAACCTCTTGCTCATGGCCAATCCCATCAGGAGGGGCCCATAGGACTACCCAAACCACGCTCCTTTGTCACAGTTGGGGTACACAAAGCAGGGATGCTAAGGAATCAGCCAAGCCCACAAAGTCAGGGGAGAGCTGCTTCCTCCACACATGCTCCCTCTGGCAACAGCTCAGCCTTTTCTCAGTGCAGAGCTCAGAGAGGCGGGGACCCTGGAGAACCTGGCTGGCTGGCCTCTGGGCTGAGCTGACATCAGCTTCCAGTTAAACATTGGTGCACCTGCCTCTGCATTGCCAAGGCCTATCCAAGGCCAGTGTGGTGCTTAACCCGCCCCCACCCCCGCC